TGAATGAAAATCGATTATACGCCACGTTGAACGCAGTCAAAAGTGAAGAAAAAAACAAATTTGCAATCGCGGATTCAATTTAACGCCAGACTTGACTCTATCTTTTGCCTGTGAGCCGTCGGTGGGTAAATCGCAAGAGATATCGAAAGGAAATAAATATACATATATCTATATATAATATATACACGAATCGATATACCAAATTGAGATGTCCTGTCAACGCCCAACGATTGCCATCAACGATTGCTGCAGCCCATCGTCAGGACTTTGATTGGGACGCAGGCTAATAGGCCGGCATTATCCTTTTACTTGGCCAGGACTTTGGCAGGATGTTCCGCAAACGCAAGCAGCAGCAATTGAGATTGAAACAGCGTCCCGGCGACCGGAAACGGAAATTGTTGTTCTGCATTTTTAACAGAGGTTCGCTGGATAAAAACTCTTCTTCGCTCGTTGTTTGTTTCATTTCTCCTCTCACACTTGAGCAATGAATTTTTAAAGCGTAGGCGTTGCCCAACCCCTTTATCAATTATCCCTCTGGAAAAAAAGAAAAACCGAGTGAAGAACAAAAGGTTCTGGCATCCTTTATCCCTGTTTCCTCCCCCCCGCCCAGAAAAGGGTAAAAATAGAGGAATGTAATCACTTGTTGAGTGCCTTTGTTGGCTCCTTTCCTTGTTGTTTCTTCACTTTGGCTAATAGTCGGCCAATTAATTGCGTCTCTGTCTTGGGGGCTCCGCCGTTGGGGCTATCATTAATCAGGGGCGAAAATTGATAAGCTCAAATGATTTAATAATAAATTAAAATCAAGGGGGTAGCTTAATGGGAAAAACTAATAAGTTTAAAGGAGGGAGAGTGAGCTATAAAGTTGTATTTATAAAAGGATTACGTATATTTTACAACAAGGTATATATTTTACTATAGATTTAAGGTTGAATTTAGCTTAGTTTTTATTTTAATGCAAAGTCTTTGTTTGTATTTTCAGTAAAACTCTGAAATGCCTTGGTTTTAACTTCAAACAACTTCTAAATATAAATTTCTAATTAAAGTTGCACCTTTTCATACTTCAACATGAAATATTTTCCTCCTCAGTCTCCTTTTTGATAAAATTTAATTATGTGCCTGCCTCAAGACAAACACTGACGGTAATTTTAATTTGATTTGACGTGTCACTCACTTAGTTGTTTGCCCACAAACAAAACAATTCAAGAGCAAACATTATGTGGGCAGCATAAAAAAAAGTCAATGAAGTGGCAAATGTCTGGGATACTCTATAGGTTTTTTGGGATAAACCGATATTTGATATTAGATATATATTTTTATATATTAAGATTTATTTTTATTTTATTTATTTCATATAATTTTCATTTTATTCAAAAGCTTGTTACACTATGAAGGAGTCGTTTCCGACCCTATAAATCATATATATTCTTGATCAGCATCACCAACCGAGTCGATCTAGACATCTAGGAAAGAAAAAAAAATTTGAACTTTTTTTTCAAAATTTTATATGGGTTACAATCAGGAAAAAATACAAATTTTTTTTTATTTTTTACATTTTAAATTGAATATGCAGATTTGTAAACCTAATCAAAACTAACATAAGAAAGCTTTCCGAATTAAAATTAATGCATTTTTGGCCATGTTATGATATTTGAAAAACTGTGATTTTCACAAAAAATGATCATATAAAATTATTGATCTTTAGTTCCTATAAGGGACCTTTTTTATGGGTTTTTGATGATAATTGGTGAAGGAGTCATTTTATACCCTATAAATCATATCATATTCTTGATCAGGATCAAAAACTGAGTCAATCTAGCCATATCCGATAAAAATTTAATTTTTTAAAAATTTTAAAAATATTAAAGGTGTTAAAATTAAACAACAAATTGGTAAAAATTTGAATTTTTTCAATTTTAAATTGAGTATGCAGATTTGTAAAACTAATCAAAACTAACATAAGAAAGCTTTCCGAATTAAAATTAATTCATTTTTGGCTTAGTTATGAGTTTTTTAAACTTTGATTTAGTGAACAAATTGTGATATATCGTTAAATATAGATTAAAAAATGCGATTACTTTAAGTTTAGGTATGATAGATTTTCGATTTGATCCCATATTCTAACAACATTTTCTTTATACGTATACCGATAAGTGCATCGGAAAAGTCGCCTTGGCTCTCTCAGAATAATTCCCCACTTGCTCATTTGATATTGTTATTTACCTGAGGGGCCCATACAAACACTTAACTTTATTTAACCTGAATTATTCCTGCCATTTCCCCAAACCACCGAATATTCTCTTTTATCTCACCGCCTTTTCTCGCTTTCTTTGCAGGTAAGTTTGACATTGATGGACTGGCTATAAGGTGGAATATATACGTATGTGTATATATAAATTCTGAAGAATCGGAGGAGACTTTAAGTAAGTGGGTGTATGTCTTCTCAAAAAAATATGCAATGACTTTTGACATTGTCTCCCTCCTCGTCTGTGTGTGTGTGCGTGTGTGGAAAAGCTATAAGTTGGCGGAAATTTGGAAAAGCGTGGCGCGTGTGGGTGTTTTTTTCTGCTTTTCCAAAGTCGCCGCCTCCTGTGGCTTACCATTATCCGCCCCGCGATGCAAATTAGATTTAGATTTTCACCAAATTTTCCTCACACACACACGCAGGCACACACACATCTTAAAGTTTGTAGTAAGCTCAAAGAAGAGGGGGGGAAAAGCAAAAGAAAAACAAGTTGTAGGCCTCCTGCTGATGACGGATTTTTCCTGGGGTTTTCCGCTCTTTGGAAATACAGTGGTTTTGCCACACAAACAGAAACTGTTTTTCTTTCTTTTTCGGTTCTGCGACAAAGTCCTAAGAAAACAATGGCAAATTAATGGCAAGTTAAGTGAAAAGTTGATTGCCATTTTCCTTTTTTTATTTAACGCTTTGAAGAACGTTCAAAGGTGTTAAATGAAGCGGCAAAGTTCAAGGGATATTTGTGATATTTTGGGACAAAAATACATATGTTTGTTAAGTGAGGGAAATGACGGGAAAAATGGGGACCATTTAGCACAGAAAGAAGGGGTTTTTATATATATTGTCTGAAAGCAAAAGTTAGTTTCTGTTTAGGGTTTTTATTACTTTATAGACTTTGTTTTCTTGCTTTTTCTGTATAAAAATATGATAAATTAGAAATTTATTTAATAGTATTTCAGGTGATATTTCAGCCTCCTTAAGATGTGTTTAAATAAGATTTCCTCCTCTTAATTTCCTAATTGTCTTTAGCTTCTCTTGTTTAACTCACCTTATTTATAACTTTCCACATTTTTCCCTATCAAAAATACCTTCACCTCTTCCTGCTTCTTGAGTTTTCTCGCCAATCAAGTGGAAAACAACATTAGCATAAACATTATTCAACATTTAAGCACACACATTTGCCTTATCTAAATGCATTTATTCAGGATGTTGCACATATTTTTCATTTCGGGCCAATTTCCATATGCATTTCGATGCTCTCTTTTTTTTCCACGGTGCTCACAATGCTCCTGGAAAAAGGATGCTGCACACACACACACACACACACACACACATGCATTATGCAAATGGCGACACTGTAGCTGACGGAGAGAAATATGTGAGAGAAAAAGAAACAAGAGCAAAAATAAAAGGGAAAGCAAGCAGGAGCTTATGTGAGAGAAGGCTCTGAAAGGGGCAATCAGAAAAGCCTCAAAGAAAGTTCATGCCACTTGGTACACTGCAAAATAAAATTGGTTAATAATTTTATAGAATATAAAAAAATTTTGTAGATTTCTTTTCCTATTTTTCCTTTTAAAAAACAATTTTTACATACGCTTTTCATTGTTTATAAGATTCTACCATAACCGCCTGCCTTTGATTCCTTTTTCCAGAGTTTAATTGACTTAAACTATGAGTATAATTTATCTTACATACTCAGCAATTTTATTGAGATATTTATGGAATTTTTTCAAGTGTATTGAGTGCCTCCTTTCCACTTAACCCATTGCGTGCCTGGGACAACATGAGGCAACTTAGTTGCCATAATTTGCACATTTTAGCAGCGATGCAAATGCACGCCGACGCATGCCGGCGACAGTTGACCCCTCTTTTCATTTTCCCTGTCCTTCCCTACATTTTCCACCCATTTTCCTCACATTTTCCTCCTTCTACTGCCACATGCAACATGATGATATACGAGGCAAAGCGAATGTTTTTGATAGCCAACGGAAATTGCCAAGCCAAACCAAGAGAAGCAACCAAACATGACAGCAACAAATTCGTAAATATTTTAAAATAAGCCTTTAGCATTCCACACACACAGTGTACTGCACTGAGAGAAAATTAAAGAGACTTCATTGGAAGGGAAAAAATATTTTAAAGTATTTTTACAAACTATTGTTTTAGTCTTTAATTTTCTAAAACTTTGAAACTTGTAAAACAGTAGTTGAAAATGTTATATTAAGCGTTTAGTTACTCTGTGCACTGAAAGAAAAATTACTAGACTTCCTTGAGATATACCTTGAAATTAATTCAAGACTTTGGAGGGGGAAATATATTTCTTTTTAATTTTTTTAAATGGTTTTTTAATATATTTATTATATAAAAATTTTGAAAACTATATTTTTCAGAAATAACACATTTTATATAGTTTTTATATATCAAAATTTACACTCTTTTTGTTATTAACATTTGCGAATATACAACATTATTTTAGGATTTCAAAAAACACAACAATAAATTCCCCATAAACCAAACAATTTTTCCAAATTTTTTTGTGCACCATTTTTTCCTCAGTGTACAAATTTCCCTAGAACCTTTTTCCGCCCAACATTTTTGCTTTTGGAAATTGCTCAAAGCAAATGACAGCAAATAGTAGTAGTCTCTCGGATCTTGATCTGTTTTATCAGGTTTATTTGTTCATTAGGTCATAGTCATACTGTCCGTAGTCGTCATCAGCAATTATCCGGGTACAGTGCTCACTCGCTAAGCGAGTCAACTCAGCTTAGCGTCTCAGGTAGAGTGAGCTGTAGGGATAGGCTCCATAGCCACTGTAGGCGGCATAGGGCGAGGCATAGACTCCGGCCGTGTATCCAGCGGTATATGGGGAGGCGTAAAGGCCGCTCGAGTAGGCGTAGGGCGTGGCAGCTGTCACCACGGGGCGGAACTGTAGGCGGTCAGGAACTGCGGCTTGGCACAGGCAACAGCCACCAGAGCGAACAGGCACAAAGCGAACTAAATGGAGGGGAAATGGAAAAGGAAAAGGGAAAGGGGAGTTAAGAGGAGGAAGCCTTTGATTAACTAAAATACATAATTGCCAGGTTGGGCTAATAATAATAGTTAAGGAAGCACAAATATTTAAGATCTCACTTTAAAAGGAGAGCTTTTTGAGGGTTTTGTAACCTAAAGACTGTTCTTAAAAGTAATTTTTAAATTGTTAAAGTATTGATTATCTAGAAGTTAACAAAGTCGTTTTATATATTTATGAGTTTTAGGATCTTAAGTTATATAAATTTATATTATTATTACAAGTATTTTTTTTTCTTCTTTTTCCATAATTTAATGGTAATGGAATTTATATTGATCTCACTTTTAATTTTAAAAACGGAATATGTTATTTAAGTTTCCTTTGAATTAAAGTTATAATTCAACACAAAATTAATTTGGTGCTGTTTTATACTTTTTTAAATGAACTTGAAAACTACTTGTTTTGAAAATTATTAAGGTTCTAGAGTTTCGAATTTTTAGATTTTAGTATTTCAAATTTTACTTTATTCTTCTATTTTATAAAAATCAATTAGCTCTCTTCTAAATAGACTCTATTTTTAAGCGTATTTAGATAAATCTAAAATGCGCTAAAAATGACTTCAGGCATTAAATGCTCATTTAATTCAATTTCACGTCTTAGGATAAGTATTTAAATAATTTAATTTTTTTCGCAGTAATTAAGTTGAATTCTTAGGTTTAAAAAGCTTTACATTATGTTCTTAGAATCTTCTTAATTTATTTCGTAATTCACTGAAATTCTTGGGTTCTAACTAGGAAACTTAAATCCTTTTTTTGATAAGTAAACAGTATGAATCTCTATTGTTTTAATATTTACATTTTTAATGAACTTTTTGATTTAAAAATGTCTTTCTATAGTTTGAAACTTGCTCTTGTAAGCTTGTAAGATTCCATTAGCTCTCCTAATCCTTATGTCTTTCCTTCACTTTCCATTATAGGTCCTCAAAGGACTCTAGGGAATATACTCACAAACTTGAACATGTTGAGGTATTGAGTTGTTGTGTGTTTTGGCTGCTGATTGAACAGAAACTGATATGATTAAATAGTAGCTAAATCGCCGGCTTTTATAGCAAAAGTTTAGTTTGACGCCGAGTGGGTGGTTCCCAAAAAAATACAAAAAAATAAAAGGGCAATGGTAGAGGTCACTCTTGGCCGTGGCACGTCTCCTCATTTTCTGTTTCTACAGTATTTTTTCTACTATTCTTTTGTTGTTTTTGCCTTTTAATTTGGTTGTTGCTTTTGGGCCAAATGTCTTCGTCTTTATGGCCGCCTTGCGTTGCGTGCATTGCATTCGTAATAAAGCCGTGCTTACCTATGTTTCGTCTGGATATATCTAACAATGAAGCTAGCGGAATAATACAAAATAAAATAATACAAACATGATAAAAGTAAGACACAGAAAAACGGAAGCTATCTGAAATTCCTGTAGCAAATGCAATTTAACCTTTGGCAATGTTAATTTGTCTTGAGCCAGATTGCCAATTAATGTTATGATGGTCAGAGATTTCTTATATATTTTATTTTATATTCCAAAAACGATTTTTATAAGGAGGAGAAGGCCTTGTCTTATTTACCACTTATTCATATTTATTTAACTTTATAATTAAACTTTGCAAATTTCAGTTTAATATATTGTCGAATTTGTTGTTCAAATCTTTTGTTCTTTTTTGATAAAGATATTGATATTGAGCAAAAAGGAATATATATGACTTCTGGCAATCATTGACTTTTTGGCCTTAAATATGTGTATTCTAGATATATTAAAACGACATATTTATATGCTAATTTTTTAGGTAAATCAAAGTCTTTCAAATATCATAACTAAGCCAAAAATGCCTTAAAATGAGATCGGAAAAGTTTTTTGTGCTAGTTTTTACAGAGCTAAAAAATGTGCATACAGAGTTTTAAATTGTAGAAAAATATTTGTTTTTGTCAAATTTTATTATAAAATTTTGAAAAAATGTCGCAAAATTTTTTTTCTACCAAACATGGATAGATCGATTCGCCTGTTGATGCTGATCAAGAATATATATGATTTATAGGGTCAGAAATGACTCCTTCACTGCGTTTCAAGCTTCTGACTTGAATTCGAATACACTTTAAGGGTATAAATATTTGCATTCATTAAGTCGAAGTTTAAGTTAAAATTAAGATATGGGGTCCAAGACAATAAGGCAATTAATTGGAAAGTAACACAGATAACTCTAAACCTATGTCTAATTATACTTGCAGAATCTATAGACGTGATATAATTGTCATGATTAAGACTTACCGCAATAGATAATATTTGTTTACCATTTCCTTATGGCATAATTGCTTCCAGTGTTAGAGTTATATTCTCGGTGACTTCAGTTAGGATTTCCAAGGTATCATCAATGTAAGCTCCTTCCTGATTATCCAGATGTATTTCCATTGATCAGGGCATGTTTTTGGGATCGAAGGGTAATCACTATCACTACCACTTTCACTTTAGATGTGAACAGGGAGGAGGCTGCAGACCGACTGAGGTCAGCGCGAGTGGAGTGCCTCTATTTATAGTCCCCGAGGAAAGAGAAAAGAGAAAGTGAGAGCGGGAGAGCAAGTGATCCCTCCAGCGCTAAGCAGAGAGAGGTAGGGAGCAAGCGGCATACGGAGAGAGATGGACATACCGAAAGAGAAAGAGAGAGAGAGAGAGCCAGAGAGATAGAGATACAGAGAGACAGAGTTTATATAGCCTTATATTCTTATTTACATTTTTTATTTGACAATAAAAATATAAAATAAAAAATCTTTCAAGATCAAAAATTCATTTAAAAATGTGTTAACATTTGTAGAATTTAAAAACAATTAAGTAGCAGTCACCAATCAAATCTTTTTAATGTGTTTTTTATTTGAATTGGTATTAATTAATTATTATTTATTATTATAATTAAAACCAATACAATAGGATTAAACTACTGGTGATTTTTAAATAATTCAAATAAAAATAATATTTGTTAGTCAAAATTAGTAAAAATTTAACAAGATAAATTTGTATTTTAACTTAACTTTTCCATTATATTCTCCACAAATTGCCAGCTAATTAAGTTTCCATATCAAGAACAATTTTCCCTTTATTTCCAAAACTATTTCCACCCCACCCTCTAGACTTTTCCTCCTCCCATTGTTACGCTTTTCCTTAGCTCTGCAAACAATCAATTTGTCAAGTTGTAAAATTAAAGCTGCTGCTAAAGCAAAGAAAGAAAGGAACCGAAATTCTACTTCTTCCTTAGCTTTTCCATCTATTGTTGAATGTTGTGCATTTTGCATTTTAAATACAATATAAATTAAGTTGGCAGCTCTTTGGCATTGAGAACAGCTTTTTCGGTAAAAGATTCCCAGATCCTCAGATGCTGAGATGCTGAATGAATGAATGGCAGCCCTTTTATCAAGCTCCTCACAGTTAATTTTACTGAAGGATAAGAAGGAGCAGCCTGTGTGTGTGTGTGTGTGTGCTTGCAGGATGTAAAATTTAGTTGGAAAAGGTCGGGGAAATTTGGGGGAAAAACTGACATTGAAGACGTATTGTTCGCCCGGAATGAAGTGGAATTTACTCAAACCCTGAACTGTGTGCTGATTTAATCTGCGATTACAGATGAAAATGAGAAACTATCTAAAGGAATATTTATATTTGAAAATGAAGGAGATTTTAAAGAAAATTTAAAGGAATATGAATGGAAAATACATCATTTTTTAGTGCTTAGAATTTGCTTCGAAAATATGAATTTTTATGATATTTATAATAATAATAAGAATAATATTTAATAATAATAATAAATTACCACTTGATACTTCGAACTAAAGGTGATCTTCAGTCAGTTTAATTCACTTAAAAAGCTTTTGTTAATAAAAATTTCAGCATTGAGTTTGGAAAATTGAGAACAAATATATAAATATAAAATCTGTAAATCATGCTTAAATGTCACTTGAATAATTATTTTATATAAATTCAAAAATAGTTTATTTATTTATCTAATTTTTTGTTTAATATTTGTAGACCTTGTTTAATATTTCACAGTTCAAAAATCATAGTTTAAGAGTCACTCTTAGATTTATTCTCGCATGCTACAAAATATATAGCACTGCTTGAAAGCCAGTGGCTTGAAAACCATCAGTTGAATTCAAACTGTCTTTGTTTTGCGCTCTCTTTTCGTTTTTTGCTTTTTGTATTTTGTTTTTGTTTACTGTGAGCCTGCGCTTTTCATTTGCCGGCATTTTTCCTCTCGGTTTTCCTTCTACTCTCCCCCCTCCCCTCTCTCTCTTTTCATACTCCACATATTCCATGCTTCCGTTTCCCGTTTACTTGTACTATATAGTTTTGTAGTATTTACTATATATAAAAGCGGATTCTGTATGTAAATTTATGGGTGTGCGTGTGTGTTTGGCGTTTGGGTTCCAAAAATGAAAACAAAAATAAATGAGTTCTGTGTAGGTGTTGTTGTTGTTGCTTTAATTGTACAGAGGGAAAGCAATATAAAGAATATCAGATAAAGAAAAAATAAAAGATAGAATAAATAGATAAAAAGATAGTAAGGAATATTTTAGTAATTTATCAAAGGATTTTAATATAACTTTAATTTGGAATAGATTTTGAGTTTAATTCAATTTTATTTGATATATTTTCTAAACTATTTAAAAAAAAAGAAATCATAGTTAATTAGTTTAAAGGGTTTAAAGAGTCATAAAAATCAACTTGTATTTAATATATTTTTAATTGGATTTTTATTATTATTTCTCTCTATAAAAGGTTCTTTAAGTTATTCCCGCCTTTTAAGTCTAGTCTTCACTGTACTTGGGCTTTGATAGTTGGGCCTAAAAATAGTAGACGCCGCAGCCACCACTTGAGAAAATTCTTGTAGAGCCGTTTTTGGGAAATTCCTTGCCGGAAAAGTTAAATATGGCCAAAAAGAGATTTTCTTCGCGCTTCTGTTTATCCACTATTGTGTGTGTGTGTTTGGAAAAACAAGGTGAAATTGCTTTTGAAGAGCTCCTCTTGTTTTTCTTAGGCTTTTCCCTCCCTCCGGAAAATGATTGCTTCATCAGGGAACTTAAAAAATAAAAGTTTCTGAGGGATTTGGATATTTTTGTTTATTTTAATTTAGTTAATGTGGATTTCCAATTGATTTTTAATAGTTTTTCCCACATTTTCCAGACTCTCTCTGTCTCCCTGTTTTTGTTTTCCTTTCTAATTGTCAATTTATGGGCTTTGGGTGGGTGGCAAGTGGGCGGTTATATATACTATATATCCGTACGTGTGTGAATTCCAAATCAATTGGCAAAGTTAATTCAATTTAGTTCACATAATTAAGAGCAAAAGCTTTCTCTGTGAGAGAGCAGACAAAACACAGGTTAATTTAAGTGTAAACATTCACTTGATTAAGCAAAATAGATTGGAAACTTATTAAATAAGGGAATGGGAGGTATAAAATTGATTATTAATTATTATTTATTTATGGGTAATTTGGGTTGTGCTCCCAGAAATAAATTTAAAACAATAAAAGTCTTCTTTAAAAATCGTTTCTTAATTAAAATAATTTTTTACACTATAATCATAAATATTGAATAATTTACTACATTTTATAACTTAAATAACAGAATACTTAACATTATCAAATAACTTTTAAGTTATATATATTATTTAATTTAATTGCCTAGAAATAATAACTGGTATTTTTTTTACTACAAATACTATAAAAACTGTATTCGAAACATAAACAAGTAAATATATTTATTTACTACGCTCCCGGCTGTTAATTCGGAATGTAAATTAACATAAAAATGTTAATGGATCGCAGACCGCGCAATTCAGCGAATTTGTTTTTGTAGGCGGCGAGAGGCATTTCTGAGCAAAGCCAATAAGGTCTTACTATTCGTAGTCGGCCGGCACTTCACTCTCTCTGTCTCTCTCTTGGATTCCACACACGTTCCACACAGTGCAGAGCCGCATTCTAGAGATGTTGGATATTTTAATATATTTAGTATAAAAAAAAAACAATAATACTATAAAATATCATTTTAAATTACTGATATATTTTCAACAACCCTAATCAAAATACTTGCTGCATAAGTTACCCAAATAGTCAATCTGTGACAAGTATCAATGTCTGTAAACGTGTAAAATGGGTTTCTGGACGAATAAGATGTAAAATGTTAAATGACAGCAAGTTTTCCAAAACATTGATAATATCAAAAAATGTAAATAATTAATATCGCAACATCGATATTTGGTCAACCAAAATATCACGAGAGAAAAAATATCGATACGCTCGACAACGCGTTCCACAGTCTGAAAACCTATAAATACGAGTGCACAGCCGCATTCGGCAAAAAAATTTCGTACGGTAAAAAAGAAAACAACGGCGGACAGAAGGAGACGTAAACAGCCGCGAAACGAATGGATATTAGTTCCGAATTAAGTTAAATTTCGCAGATTTCCCGGATTTTGTGTTAATTTAGTTTTCGTTATTAGATTCGCCGCCTTTTTTCGCCGTTTCGTTGTGTGTTTGCGTCTTATTTATGTTGTTTTTCGTGCGGCGCGTCGTCTCTCGCGCGAGTGTGTGTGTGTGTGTCAGTGTGCGTGTGTTTTGCGCGAGTATGTGTAGTGGCCAGCGTACGTCAGTTTTGCTTTTAATAAATTATTAGTAAAAATTGAAAGAAGAAGAAAGAAATACAAAGAAAAAGGTATAAGCAAAGTATAAATATATTATAAACCAAACGATAATCAACAAGTGCAAGTGCGAAATAAAGCAAAGAAAGCCGAAAAGCCAAAAGTAAACAAAATGTGCTGAAGAAGAAGCAGACGTGAGAAGTAGCATCCAAAGAAAAGGAAAACGAAGTAAATAGTGGTTTAAAATGTTCGTAAAAATTGAATATCTAAATGGAAATAAAAATCATTCCGATCGAAGATCGAGACAAAGTGCAAAAGGCAACAATATATGTATAAAAAAAAACAACAAAAACTACGAAAGTGCCCAAAAGGAAAATCCGGTTTTACAACTTCTCTACCTCTCTCTGTCCCACTGCTCTCTCCCGCCCTCCCTCTCTCGCTCACTAGTTCGCTCTCAGTTCAGAAATTTTTTAAACAAATTCCTTTGCCCAATTTGTTGTTGTTGTTGTATTTTCCCAGTGAATTCATTAAACAAACAAAGCAAAGTTAGAAAACATGGAAAGTAGTATGTAAATGCATAACAACAAATAAATAATGATTAAACAATCAACGGAGACAGGTGTTTAAGAGAAAAGGGAATACAAAAGAATTAGAAAACTATGCATTTTTGGTGTAAATTTGTGTACAGTGAAGGCTCGGAAAGTGAAGTTTTAATATAAATAATTATTTTCTATATAGAAATCAACAAATAAACCAATTATTTATGTGCAAAGTTCCTAAATAATATGGTGAAATTCTCTCTATACTCTATAGAGAATTTAGTATTAATCAAAAATGAAAATAAAAGACACCATCCTATATTCATCGTTAAAAAGTGAAATCAATAATACAAAACAATATTTCAAGACGGAAAAGAGAGGTGGCCATAAAAATAGCATAAACAGAAAATAACAATAAACCATGCAAAATAAACAGTTAGCTGCCGGCTTTTTTCGCTCTCGTTGAATAAACAAAATACTTTACAGTTTAATTTTGTGGCAGCTGTTTTTTGTGTTAAACACAAGTATGGAAAATACATTCATGCATAAATAATTGAATTTCTTTTGCACGCTCGCTAAATGCGATTTCCACACGAAAAATGTGGGAAATATTTAACGCAATCGGAGTTATTCGTGCCTTATCTTATCCGCAACAACACGATTTTAATGATGGTGCAATTGAAAAAATAACAGAGAAATGTGCTACAATTGCTTCCTTATCACAAAGGTATTACGTGCTGGAAACAGATAGTGTACTGTAATGGGATAGGGAGACGGGGGTGGTGTATTTAGCTGGTGAAGGAAATTACACATTTCATTATTTCCTCTTATTCTTTTTTTCTGCAACCAAATATTTTCATCTACTTACAATGTGTGTCTAGACGGGATTTCTTTTTTTTCTCTTTATATTCATGCTGAGGAAAAGTCTGGTAGTGTGTGTATACTACGAGATTTTTGCACCCTCTTCTACGCTGCTGACTCTTTGGGATGCCTTTACTACTTTTTGTTGTGCTCCAGACTTCAGTTTACTCCACTTTACTCCAGACTTTCGACCCCATGCTCCATCTTCTTCTGCTCCTCTTCTTGCCGCCGCCCACACATAATCCCACACCCACCCCTCTGGACGCAGCATCCAGCAACCCCCAAAAAAAAGAAACGCATTCTCTTGGTCCCTTTTATTGCCCTTACAGTGGAACATGACTAATTAGAACTGAGATCTGTGCGGAAAGAAATATTTTAAAATAGTTACTGTGTGTGGAAATATTTTATTTAAATAAAATAAATAAATAAATTGTTTCATTATTTCTGGTAGTTATAGTTCCCAACTAAACGTTTTGCATGAATTCTAAACCCTGTTTTTAAATCCATTTCCTTTAACAATTCAAAAATTTTAACATTTTTCCCATTTTTAACGTTATAGTTTGTTTTAAAATATAATCCGATTTTTTATAGAGTTCACAAACAAGTTTTCACTGTACTTACTAGTACTTATTTTTTGTTTGTAGACGCCGTTTGCGCGCAAATTTAAATTTATGCGAAAATTCTGTATGCTTGTGTGTGTGTGTTGTGGAACGCACTAACTGCGCCACCCTCTCCCTCTCTTTTTTGCTCTTTCTCGGCTCCCCACATCTCTTCTCCGGTTCTCTGGGGGAGCACAAGTTTTCAGCCGCCACAACAACAAAAACAACGAATCTTCTTCACCGTTCGTTTTGCTGTTGTTGTTTTTCTGTCCATTGGTTTCTGCTGTCTGCTGCTGCTGCTGTTTTGCTTTTGCTTTTGTTGCATCTGTCGTTGCACTGCCAGACAGAGATGCCAAACTCAAAGGGCGAGAAAGAGAGGCGCAATAGATAGAGACAGCGGCTGGCTTCTTCCTCCATTTCCATTTCCATTTCCATTTCCCACTTCCACTTCCACAATTGTGGAATTGTGAATTGTGTTCCATTAGCAGCAACCCCGTACACTTGTACCGCACAGTACAGTGAAACGAAGATTAATGTAGAAGCGATGCTGTTACAATGACGTTTTTAGGGGGAGCTTTAAACTTAAAAATATTCAGGATATCAGAAATTTATTGATTTTCATAATAGGATTATCTGGAAACGAAGTATTATTTTGTACTTTCGTTCCATAAGGAAAATTTAAAATATATCTAAATAAATAATAAATAAAATAATAAATTCCCCTTAAATTTCTATAAATTAATTGATTTACTACTTGCTAAATAACTTTAAAATAATTACTTTAAATTAACAAAGTAATCGATTTTAAAACCATTAACATGATAATTTCCCACCCCTAATGGTTCTAATGGTTTTCGTACCACTGTGCGAGGTTAAAGCGACAGCTGCTGGTCAAAAGAGTTGATTGTTGTTGGTTTTTGCTGCTGTTTCGGTTTCTGTTTTGTTGTTTGTTGCTGCCTCCGTTTATTCCTTCACCTCCATCTCCCCATCTCCTTGCCTATCGCCGTCTCTTTTTGGTCTCTCTCTTTGAGTTTTGGCAAATTTTATTATCCAAAGTCGCGTGTGCCTGGAAGTTGTTATTATTGTTACTTTTGTGTTTTATTTTTTTCGGTTTTTACATATGGCTGTATGTTTTTTGTTCAATAACGAAACAAAGTTCTTTTTCCCCATCGAGTTTTTCTGTATTTTTCGAATTTTTGCTCTTAATTGGATTTGATTGCCTTTTGGCTGTCGGCGGCGCCGCCTCTCAAACGAAAAATCCATGAATCTCTGAGGTTTTTTTTTTCGCTGCTACACAAATCGCATTAGTTTTTGTTGTTATTTTGTTCCCAACGCTTTCCTTTCTGGTCTCACATTTATTTTTGATTTTTTTTTAGTCCATTGTTTAGATTTTACAGGGGAAATTCAATAAAAGGGAAATGGAAACTACTATTTTCTTTAATAAAAACTCTTTGAAAAAAAAACAGTGTTTCTATTTAGCTAAAGTGAATTTTTTCTGAATGTTAATTTTAATGTTTTTTAAATTCTAATTATTCAGTTAATTGTTAATAATTATTTGAGCTTGCTTTCTAAGGTAAATTAAATGTTATGTGGGCCTACAAATAAACAAATAATAAAACTACAATAGCTATAAATATTACAATATTTTCCAAGTTTCACTGTAATTCAATTATTGTTTTTTTTTTCGCACAAAGCCAGAGTTGCCCCAAAAAAATAGTAGTACAAAAATAAAAGTCGGGCCTCCCTCTCAGGCCTTCTCTCTCGCTTGCTCTCGTGAGAATAAAATCGCTAAACTACTGAACTGTAAATGAGGTTCAATGAACTTGCCACAAAACCGAGAGCGAGTGAGACAGCATACGGGTGAGAGCGAGAGGCGGATAGCCGCTCTTTGTTGGAGCTTTTTCCTCATATATATATATATACTTTTTTTTTTAATATGCGCCTGCTGCTGACGCTGCAAGTTGCAAGAGCGCCGTTCCACATGTGCAATGTGCAATATGCAATGTGCAATATGTTGCACCCCCCCTCATAGCAACATCCCCATATACCCCACATTTCCGCCCCTTTTTCCCCGCCCCCCTTGCAGTCAACGCATTTGCTAATTTAATCGCTTCTCTCTTTCTTTTTTTTTGCATTTGCATTTGCACCAATGGACGCTCGTTAAAACAAATGTTGTCTGCATTATAAAAAAAAAGTTTCTTATTGTTATTTTTGCCACTGCAGATATGAAAAGGAATCGGGGAAAATAAACGAGAAAAATATCCTTAAAGGTATTACACAGGAATTTATGTAAAGTTGAATAAAAACTTAGAATAGCTTGAGTTGTTGTTGTAATTCTCAACTGGTACAAGGGGTAAGCTTGCTAAATGTAGAGGTTATCTAGTTTTAGATACTGATAAGGAATCACTGGTTCTTTGCTAAAACATCTTTGTATGGAATCTCTAAAGATATTTCACTTTGATTAAAGTCATAAATTAATTTCAATATCTCAGCATCCCTTGTGTTGTCCTTATAATTCCTAACAAGTTTTGACTGCAATCTCTCAAGATATTTGTATTATTAGCCTTCTATGGCTACTAATTAAGTTCCTTCCTCATTGAAAAGCTGTATATCTGCTTTGATTCTTAACTTGAAATATTAAAGAATATAACAAATATTCATATAGAATTTATTTGATTATAATTTTCTTTCGGTGCACCTATTGTGCCACATTCTACGAGTATTTCCCCAACTCCCTCCATTTTTCCCCCACTTCCTGAGCTCTCTTCAATTCTCGCCTGGCCGCCTTTTTAATGTGAGTCGCGCGCCAAATCCACAAAAAAGTAAAAAACTAAATAAAAAAGTGAAACAAAAAAAAGTTAACTAACTGCCGACTCAAAACAGAATCGAAGCTAACGAGCCAAAAGTCAGTGCTCTGGAACAACCAACAAATAAATGTATATATATGAAACAGAAATAGCAAGCCACACGGACCACAAAAGCCTAGTTACAGTTACTTTTAGCCAAGATTTTCAACCAACTCTGTGTTCTGGCTACCAATTTTCTCAGTTTTTTGTTTATTTTTGTATCTGTATGGACTTTTTGGGGCAGCAAACCAAGCAAGAAATTAAACATAAAAATATAAAATATAGAAAAAGTTTTTTGTAATGGGTGGCCATAAAAAATAGGCTTGAGGGATTTTCTTTAAAAGAGTATAATTATTAAGAGAATGCTTTTCATTTGATACAAATATTTAGGTGTCTTTTTAAATGAAAAAAGGATGGAAAAATATTTCAAAAATAAATATTCATATTGAATATTCAATTTTAAATCAATTTAAGAATGTATATTAAAAAGGGTAATAAAAATAGTTGAAACAAATAATTTTTCATAGAAATATCAATGACATATCAATTCTTATATATTTATTAACCTTTTTAATTATTTTAAAACTCTTATAATTGTTTTAACTTTAAAATACCATACAAACAGTGTGCTGGAATATTTTCTTTATATATTTTTTAAAATAAATTTGCTTCCTAGAAAAAGGGAAAACAAGTTCAACGCATAAATACAAAAAATGCAACGAATTAAATTTAAAAAAGGGAAGAATGAAACGCTTTTTGAATTTCAATTCGCCGCAGTAATAATTTTCTGTGGCGGCTTCTTCGTGTTCTTTTTTATATCATTTTCTTTATTTTTTTGTATTCTTCTGGAATCCCTTGTCCCAGCTGCTGATGTCGTGCCGGGTTTATTATTATTTTTTTCTTCGATTTCTTTTTTTCGTCGACATTCCCTTTTTGTGTGTATCCTGTCGTCATCATCATCATCATCTTGCCTTAATTCCGCTTACCTGTGCACTTTGCCTGTCGTTCCTCTCTCTCTCTCTTCCTCTTGTTTCCCCACCTTTCCGTGAGTTTTTATCTTTTGTCTGGGCCTTCCAACTGAACGAAGTTTTCTACCTGCGAGTCCCAATATGCATTCTAATAAGATTTCCCTTAACCCGAGCTGCCAACTCGTTGCCATTTGACCTTGCTACACAGAGAATAAAGTGGGGTCCTTCTATAAGAAATGTTTAAATATAATTTTAAAATGTATATAAAAGTTATAAACATTTTTATAGACCTTAAAGCAAGCTAGACATCCTAGATTTTACAATTATTTCATCATAAGTTTTCATGTTCTTTCTTAAGAATTTTTAAAATATTAAAATAGGGTCATAAAAATAATATTTATTTCAGTGTTTTACTCTTGACTATGGTTGGAAAATGTTTAAAGGCTCCAGGGAAACTTTTGGCTTTCCGCTTGAGTTTGAGTTTCAGTTTGTTTGAGCTGTGAAAAGGATTTGTTTTCACTAGTGAGATTTAAATGCATTTTCCTTACTTCGTTTTGTGGTGGAGTTTTTGTTCTTTTTATTTTGATTTTTTCCAGGGATTTTTTCTATATTTTTTATTCCCAACTTTTTCACAATGCATTTGCTTTGAGCCTTTCTGGAAATAATCCCTTAACCTTTAAATGGAACTTACTTATATTTTCTAAGAACTATATGCCTTGCAAATCCTTTTCTGTTTATTAAATATTAGTTTTGGAATATATTTGTAATCAATAGCTATCAGAATCCCCTAAATATTTTGTAATTATTAATTTATAGACTCATTTCCTGATAATCTAAATCTTTTAAACCCTTTCCTTATCAGTAAAAAGCCTGAAAATTGGCTTTCCAAGTAGCTGGCTTAACCCCTTCTGTTCCTTAACCCTCTCTCGGCTTGGTTACACTCGATTTCCCCACGGACACTTCAATTTGAAGGGGCATCTCCTTGTACTCCAACAACCCCCACTTTTTGCCTGTTCCTTTGTTGCCTTTGGCCATCCTTCAGAGGCATCCTTGAGAGGAGTTTCCACATCCCACATCCCACCTTCATCTCCAACCCATGACCAAACGCAGTAGCAAGTTTCTGTCTCGCTTTAGCTTCTTTTGTTTCAAGTTTCAAGTGGTGCAGTGGTGCACACAGTGCACAGTGATGATGCTCCATTTCCTTGGATGGATTTCCATCTACTCCATTAGTGTGTGTACGGCACTTTTCCCCTGGATCTTTTCCATACATCCATCCATCCATCTTCACCAGCTGTTGGCAATTGCAACGTTTTTGATGATGACAACGACAAGTGGTCCAGAGTTTGGTTTTTGGCTTCGGGTTTGTATGTTTTTACTGCGGCTTTTGTGGCATTTGTGTGTGAAAATGCTTTGGCTGCATTTTCAGTTAATTTTCTCGAGGCGAAAAGCAGTGCCAGAAATGTTGCTCTTGATTATGCTATTTTATCAGTGCCAAAAAATGGGTGTTAAAGTCGTTTGAGAAAATGGTGGAAAAGTGTGCCAATTTCACTTTGCTTTTGGTTTTCTTAACTAGAACAATTTATAAATAGGGTTTTGTGGTCTTTAAGTTGCTTATAAATTGAAAAAATAATAGAGAAATTGAATAAAACAATTGAATGAATTTAAAAAATATAAAATGGTTAAGAAAATGAAGGCTATAATTAAATGAGTAATAAAATCTAATACAAACATTTAAATAAACCATAAAAACAACACCTCAGCGTGTTATAAAATATATTAAAATATATTCCAAGTGCTTAAAAAGTGGTAACCAACCGGATTTTCCTTGGGAAACTTTAATAAAGAATGCTGTGACAATTTATAATTAATAAAACAAAGCATATAAAATGTCAGATTAGATCTAGATTCTAGAAGATCTAAAAGAGAGTGCTAACTATGATATAAATTCTCATACCATGTTGCCTGGATTGCTGGAGTACTTACCGGCGACATGCAACATGCAACATGCCCGCTAAACCCAACACCTGTTTTAATTGCAGCAATTAAGCCACCGAAACAAAAGTGAAACCCTTGAAAAAGTGACACAAGAAAAGTGAAGTGCGAAACAAGGAAAAAAAGCAAAGGAAAAATATACAAAAAAGTCAAGAAAAGTGGGAAAACCCACGCACACCGGCGGCGTGTTAACCGCCAATTAGTTGTTTGTCACGTGACAATGAGGGAGTGAGCAACGGTGGCAACAACATGTCGCTGAGGAGCAACAAGTTGCAAAGCCAACAGTCGACGGCCAGCAACAATAGCAACAGTAGCAACAGCAGCAACATCACACTGCAACAGCAGCAGCAACAGCTGCAACATCCACCGATGGCCTACCAGCAGCAGCAGCAACAATTGCTGCAACAACTGCAGCAGCAGCACAAGTTCCAGGCCCAGGCACAGCTTACCCAAAGGGGCAACATTGGGAATACCAGTCGGAATAATTTGGCCACCTTGGTGGCAGCCATCAATGGACACGATGGTGGTCAGAATTCACCCGGAGGAGGAGCTGGAGCTGGTTATCAACTGTCGCCGGCTGCTGCAAGTAGGGTGGCTCATGCCCCACCACACTCGCCACTGGGTCCACCCTCATACTCAGCGGCCACGGCTCAGTCGGCCTTTAGTTACTATGGCCAACATCAGCTCAATCACAGCTACCAACAGCAGCAGCAACAGCAGCAGCAGCAGCAGCAGCAATTACCACCTCCCGATCTCACCGACGGCATCGATCATCCATCTGCCCAATCGGCCACACCACCAGATTCCCCCAATGCCCATGGTCAATCCCAGTCGGGGAATGGTCCATCGGAGCTCGAGCAGCAGCTCTGTGTGGTGGCCAAGATGCAAAAGTCGGTGACCATCACCGTAACCCCACAGCGGAGCAACTCCATGGATTACCTCAACTTTGAGGAGAAACGTCAGCTCATAGCCTCGTCCTTGTCACTGTCGGATATTTTGCACAGCAGCAACAACGCCCAGCAGCAGCAGCAGCAGCAACATCAGGCGCTCAAGGACGGACTGGTCCTCAATGGGGGGCAGTGCGGTAAGTTGGTCATTAAATTATATAAAAAAAATCTATTAAATATAGATTTCTTAATAAACAATATAGGGGAAAGTGAAGCCAAAAAGGTATTAAATATATTCCAAGTCTTGTTGGTTTAATACAAATTAAGGCCAATCTAAACACCAATATTTATTCTGGGCATATTTTTGCTTACATTTTGCTTACATTAAACCTTTAACGACCTTACCTTGTTCTAAAAATATAACCAAAAAGTTCAAAGGCCGTGTGCAAGCCAGACCTTTTAATGGGGCGAGACTGTTTACTTAATTTGGCGGATTGGGTTTTTAAAAGAATTTAAATTCCATCTGAAATAAGTTAGCATTTTTGATTCAATATAAAACCAATTAATTTCAATTGAATAACATTTTTTCTAGTAAGTAAAGAACATATTAATCTGATAGTAAATTTATAAATTATTAAAAAAGTCAGCTAGATGTCCTAATAATTCAACAAGTTACTTACTTAAAACATATGTATCTTTTGGATTTTTATTAATTCACCCAATATCTTAAGTAGTTTAGCTTCCCAATAAAACATTAATAACCAAAGCTTATTAACTTAAACAAATGCCAAGCGTGTAATAGATCTTTAGGGGTATTCCCAACTTCGATCATTTCCGTATCTATTTTTTAATTCGATTTTTTTTACACTTCAATGCAGAACGGAAATGTGATTTTTTTTCGCCGTTTTTTGTTTTCCATTTTCCATTTTTGTGTGCCCGACGACGACGACGAGCCCCAAAATGGTTCACTGCACTTGACTCTGCGGCGGATTGTAGAACGAAAAGGGGACTTTTGGTTGTTGTTTTTTTATAGAGAGCAGGGAGCGGGTTTTGTCAATGCTTTTATCTGATGCCTAAAGCGATACAATATGCTGACAGAGGGGCACATACTCGTTAAAAAGAAGAGAACAGAAACAGAGAACAGGGTAACAGCTTTAATTCTTCTTTTGTGGGGGCGACACAGACACAGACACAACAACCAACCAACACACACACTTTTCACAGGTGTGACAACAGAGGAAATCCGAGGGTGCGGTTCAAAAGGGTGTAGCACCAAAGGAATGTCGTTCAACTCTTAAATTGAAAACCTTTTAAAGTAATAAAAAAAGAGTTTTAAATAGCAAAAAATTTATAAATAATTTTGATACATTTTTAGTTAGAATCTTGTAACGCTGTGAAGGAATCATTTTCGACCCTATAAATCATATATATTCTTGATCAGCATGAAGAGGCGAGTCGATCTAGCTATCTTTGGAAGAAGAAAAAAATTTGAAATTTTTTGTTCAAAATGTTTTGAGGTTTTACATCGTTAAAATTTTGAAAAAATCATACAAATTTTAAATTTCAAATTGAGTATGCAGATTTATTAACCTATTAAAAACTAATATAGAACAGCTTTCCGAATTGAATTTCATGATTTTTTGGCTTAGTTATGAGTTTTTTAAACTCGTGTTTTTTGTAAAAATTCATAAACTTTTGAATTATTTTGTAAAATTTGTACAATTTTGTACCTATATCTATATCTATTTAAACAAATATTTAAAAGTTTCTAAAATTGATTATAATCGGATGATAAAACTAGAAGATTTCAAATAACTAAGATACTAACTCATATTTCTATTTCGCTCGCACTTATCTGATATACTTAGCCATGTTTTAAACCTTGTTTTTGAACTATTTGGGTTTTTTAAAGTGAAATTATTTTCCACTTTTTATGTTTCTGCTGAATTTGATTAATGCCTTTTTCAGTTTGATTTATGCTCTATATTTTTATTTACCCTCGATTTTATTAGTCTCATTTTATGGCATTCAACAAGTCATCATCATGGTGGTAATAATTTTTGCCCTATATCCGATTACCGTGACATGTCAATACGAATGGACATCAATTGCCGACTTAACCCACTTACCCACTGGGGAGATCTCTATATATTTCTCTCTATATATATTTTATTTCTCTATAATATATTTCGAGTTGAGTGACTCATAATCGGGCATCATCAATCAAAGCAAAACTTAATACGAGTCGCAGAGACGGAGCAAGAGAAATGCTGATGAAAGCAGAAAAAAAGAGTGAGCTTATTGTTTATTTTTAGCAAAATTAACAAAGTTTGTCAGAGAGCTTCGTTTATATTGGCATTTAAAGATGCAATTAAAATACTTGGCGTCTTTTGTTTCTTCTGTTGTTTCTTCTCTTTTTCTGTAGATTTCAAGTTCAAGTGGAGAATTGAAATGGCTTTTTAATGCGTTTGCTTTGAGGGCACGTGTCTGAAAAATAATGAAAACCAGATAGGAGATGAGAGTGTGGGCTAAATTCAGTGTGTCAAACCCGAGACTCATGACTCACTGTAGTTATATCAAGTCGAAGTCGGATTGTTTATATATATCTATATATATGTGGGTATAAACAGGTGTTCGCCACTTTGTGCACTGTGGAAAATTATTATATTAATTTATAGTGACAGGTTCCATAGGTTTTTTGTTGAAAGATAATTATTATGACTAGTGGCTGGCTTTCGATCTTGATTGATATATAAAATATATGACAGATTAATCAGAGCTGTCACCGAAATCTTTCAAGATTACTAAATCTGATGGTTTGTCATTTATGAATTCATTAATGATTTCATTTCTTTACTGTTTCGGATTTTCATTCATTAATTAAGCTTTGGCTGTCGTTGAACTAAAAAGAAAAGGTTACTGATATTTACTGATATTTATATATATTTTTTAAATAAATTTGTATTTCCTATATGTAATTTTACATTTTATTTTCCGTGCATGTGTCGAAGTCAACGTTTTTGTTTTCCTTTTTTATTTGTTGCCTGACTGCTTTTGGTTTAGCCGCATTCCTTGAATATTTTTGCAATTATTTTGTTTGAAATTTATTGTCGATTTAATCGGGCTATTTGTTTTTAAATGTTACGTTCGTTTGTTGCCCATGTGTAAATTGTTAAATATTTATATAATAATAAAAGCTTGTATAGCATCGTCATCATATGACTTGTGTGTCATTCTTTCCCATGACTTTGGCTTAACTTAATTGATTTGCTAAATTTGTAAAATCAATAACGAAAAAATGCCGATAGCAATTTATGATGTTCAATTACTACTAACTGGGAAAAAAAACAACATGACTGAGAGGAAAACAACAAATTGCCTTCAATAAAACACAAATCGAACTAACTGGCGAGATCCCCTTGCTGCTGCTTCATCTCTTTCCACCTGAAAAACAAAAATTTTCAATTACTTTTGAATTCATCAAGCGTCCGTTTCATTTCCCCTGACAAGCGGAGAGTGTTTTTTTTACTTCTGGAAAATTTCTAGCCCACCATTTTCACCCCCTCAATCAATGACCAGCTGTGCAAATCAATAAGCTGTTTTTCTAGTAGCTGGTTTTTATTTTTTCCCTTTTTTATAATAAGGCCATCAAATCTATACAATGTCGAGGCTTCAAATATCATTGAAGTTGCTTCAATTTGTTGTTATTATTTGTATTTCTTGTATATTTTCGTTTGTGTTTTGTTTTCCTATTTTCAATTTGCACGCCAATTTTGTTGTCAGTTCTACAGTTACCGCCCATTAGCCGAAAAAAATTCAGTAGCTATAAAAAGTGGAGTGCCGAAATGTGGGAGGGGATAAAAATGGGGTTTCCAAAACAGTTGAGCCGGGTTGAGTGTGAATGTGAGTTTGAATTTGAATATGAGTGTGAGTTTGAGTGTGGCGAGCAGACAGGCAGGTAAACATAAATACAAAGTTGTCAAAACGGTAGAAAAATAATAATAATAATAATAACAATAACAATGTCTGTTGAGGTAGCTCATATGTGAAGTGGTGGAGGAATAATTAGGTTTAACCCAAGGGGTAATATGGAGAAGTTTAATGGTAAATTATATACATTTACACCTTTGCTTAGTATTATAATTTTAGTAAGAAGCTTAAAACGCAATGAAAAAGTCGTTTCCGACCCTATAAATCATATATATTCTTGATCAGCATCGCCAGGCGAATCTATCTAAGTATGTTTGGTGGAAAGATAAATTTTTGAAAAATTTTGTTCCAAATTTTATATATCATTAAAATTCTAAAAATTAAAAAAAAAATGGAATTTCTTTAATTTTAAATCCTAGTATGTATAATTGATATCCCTATAAAAACTAGCGCAGAAACGCTTTCCGAATTGAAATTAAGGCATTTTTGGCTTAGTTATGATATTTCTAAAACTTGAATTTATCCAAAAACTGAGCATATAAAAATATCAATTAAATATTATATGTTTGTTATATTATTATTGGTTTATATTAATTATTTCTGTTTTATTCTATTTGATTTTTGAATTCTCAGCATCTTAATTCTACTAAAAATTTCTAAGGCAGGCTTTATAATTTCATTTCACATCCTCGGACTTTCATTTAGCACCATAATTAAGTCTAGTTAAAACAAAAGCTTAATTCTGCTTTAGAAATACTTACTTTTACTGCTGCACTTCACTGCTCTTTGATATTTTGCTTAATTAAGTTCATAAGGGGTTAATGTTGAACTTGAAACTTGACACATGAAGTGGTTTCAAAAAGGCGGAGAGGGAAAAACGTTGCGTAGTAGAAAAGTCTTCAGCTTTTGTGAATACATTTTTTTTTGAGGGGGTGTGTCTGCTATTTATATAGCATAAAAGGCTGCTGGAATCTGCGTATTATATATACAGCCAAACTGGGTTCTTTTATGCTCTTCCAAAATTAGTTTTCATTGTACTTTCCCGGTCTTTGGTTCACCTTTATTTCGTGTGTTTAATGACGCTTCAATTTTGGGACTTGGTTCTGTCTCTTTTCTACAGTTCTTTTATTAATTTATGAGACCCTAATCGAACGCCATTAATCAATAAAAACTGCGCGGCGTCAAAATGTTTGTCTGATTAAAATTCGTATATTTTTGGTCTGTCTGCAAAAGAAGGGAAGTGGGAGTATAATTTATACAATCTTAG